GCCGCTCCTCATAGGGCTTGTTCTCCAGACCCTTAATCATTTTAGTTGCCCTCCTCTGGACACATTCCAGCTGAAAGAATGTCATAGGGAAGAGGGAGCAGGCTTGTGATATCTAATGAGATCATAGTTAGTACAATATGCATACTAGTAACAAATGAGAAGATGAGACTGCCTTGGGACTTTTATTTGTCTTAAGGAAATGCAATATTTGGTTTCTCTTGCCACAGCTGGAGGGAAATACCATAACTAACTAACTAAATATCTGCATCAAATATTTACTCTGCATCATAGTATTCTAAGAGCTGGAGTCAGGAAAACAATTTAACTATGGCTCTTTAGCAGTTTCTCCAGGTGGTCCGTGCCCTTTACCCATGACACCTTCCATTTGACAAAAGAATATAGCAGACATTCAGCCACGGCTTTCATAGAAACAAAGTACAGAATATTTTTTATTGTATCAACATATATATATATATATATATATATATATATATATAGCCAAAATCAAATAGAGTTAAGCACATTAGAAACCTCAATAAACAAAACAGCAGTTGTCAAATTTGGCAGTAAATTATCTTCTTTGGAGAACTCATTACAGATGTAAATGTCTTCTCCTCAACATACTTTTGCCTAATTTCAAAAGTGGGAAGATGTATGGTACCACCTGTATGGTAAATGTCTAGATTAGGCAGGGTTTTGTGGTAGAAGATGCAACTTGAGAGATCTGGTTTCTACTCATTGATGTCCCCCCCCCTTATCTTCCCATTGCTTATTGGTTTCTCCCCAGTCCTTCAGCCTTTTGAGCATCAAAGAACTAATGTTGTGCTCAATTCAAATAGGTTTTGTAGACTCTTTTGTTCCATCCCTGTTTCCAATGTGATACTCATGTGCTTTTGATGCTGTCATCACTCACCTATATTGTTTCTTTTTCTCATTTGCAAAGGCCTGGATGAGATCTGGGAATGGATTACAGAAGTGCATGGAAATTTTAGGTTCCCCTTTTCCAGCTCTGTAGAATGTTTAGATCTAGTTTTAAGCACTGTGCATGTTCAGTTATACAAGGAAATGCTGCATAAATAACAGAAACTTCTTGGTGATGATGCTATGGAACCAGGACCTCAGGGAAAAATGCCCCCTTTGCTTCATGGATGATCCACTTACCTCTCCTCCAAACAGTTAATTATAAAGTGTATCAAAGCTGTAGTAAAAGTGAGATGTTTACTCACAACATTTGGCAAATTAAGGGCACAAACAACATTTTACACTGCACATTAATTCATATGCTTTAAAATTAAATAACTTTTTATTGTGATCCTACTTTGTATTTTGATTCCATGTATATATGACATGTCAATTAAACTGAAATTCTGTATTGAATACTTTTTTAAGAAACCCATTGGAACTTACAGAAGAATTCATTCAGGATTTCAATGACTCACTAGAAACAGAAAGAAAAGAGAAATTCACAGAACTGGCTAAAAAAATGCTTGCGAGATGCAAGGTTTGTATTCACAAGAATTACAGCGTTTTTTTAATGTCATACTCATAAAGACCATCTGTTCAGCTTAAATGTCTACAGTAATGTTTAGCAGTAAGAATGAATGTAAACATTTCTAATTTCAAAATGATTGTTACTTACTTTTAAAAGTAACATTAAAGTGCAGAACAACATTATGTACTCCTTTTTAAAATATGCTATTCAGATCTGAATTTTATATTGCTCTGCATTCTGAGTACTTCTTATTAAAGAAGATAACATATTGGAACAGAGTATTACTAAAAGTAGTTTAAAAGCAATTATACCACCCTTCACTAAACAAATTCAGTCAATATGATGAGGAATGTTCTAGTACTAGAGTTACTTCTCCTTCTGTCCAGATGAAAAGATGATAACTTTTTGGCAAGCTCAATCTGTTTGCATATTATGTTCAGCACGAGTTTTTCTCTGGAGTCTGCTGCATTCTTTCCCTTGTCAATTTGGCAAGAAAAATAGATTAACGAATATAATTATAAGATTTTACAGTTACCCTATATTTTGTGCATACCAAAGTGAGGTGGATAACTTCTCTTTTTCACTATTAATGATAATGACTACTTATCAAATTAAGATTACACATAAAAGTATAAAATTCAGTATTGACAAATTAAGCAACCTTATTTTATTTATGTCCACACTAGCTCTAGGAAGTTGTCCACACAAATGGACTAATCCAACTCTTGACAAACTACCAGCATTTCTACTCTTCTTGGACCCAATTCCAATTTGAGTTTTAAAAACAACAACAACACTTTATTTATATTCCACTGTTCTCCCCAAGGAGACTCAGAGTGGATTACAGCATATATTACAGGCAAACATTCAATGTCTTGTTGCAATGAAACAAAATGAGACACAAATACACAGACAAAGGCAAAGGCTTCTCCTTTCATTTCCTCTTCTAGGAGGCAGTACTCATCTCTGGCTCTGGGGGAGGTACTCTTCTCCATTTCCAAGCCAAAGAGCCAGTGTTGTCTGTAAACACCTCTTGGTCGTGTGGCCGGCATAACTGCATGGAGCATCTTTTTGCCTTCCCGCCAAGGCGGTACCTATTGTTCTACTCACATTTGCACGTTTTCTAACTGCTAAGTTGGCAGGAGCTAGGGCTAACAGCAGGAACTCATCTATCCCACAGATTCGAACTGCCAACCTTCAGGTCAGCAGTTCAGCAGCACAAGGGTTTAACCCATTGGGCTACCGTGGCAATGCAATGAATCAAGACTTTGAGGGGACTAAAATGGCCCATCTAACTGAATGACTGCTACATTCTTGAAAAAGCCAGATCAGTAAAAAATATGTTTTCCCCATTTACCCACCAGAATTGTTTTCCTTATCATTTGGCAACAGGGAATGAGCAGCAGGGAATGAAGGACACTTGAAATTCATTGTAGCAGGAAAGAGAAGCAGTGGAAGTACTAAAGATATATTCTCACCCCACTCTTTCTGCAAATATGAACAAACGAATTAGTTTAAACCCTTGATTGGAGAATGACAGATGAATACAGCAGTACTGCAGGTTTTTTTTTTAAAAAAGTCATTACAGCTTGTTAATGGAATATGACTGTTTTTTTGAATAGCTGTTTTTATTCATATGCAAATTTAATGAATGAATTTCATAATTCACTCCATTAACTTCTATTTATTTAATCAAGTGATAGCGGCCCTGTTAAGAAACAAGGTAGAAAATTAAAATGGAGAACTGAAAATTTTTCTCACTATAGTATCCGTTTTCAAATTCTGAAATTTGGTAATTTCCTAAATATTCGTTATTAATTTTGTCAGTGCAACTCTGGACTGAGATGAAAGACTTATTGATCTAGATAGCCAGCAGATATTATTGGACGAAATTCTTTGCTGAAAAACAAAATTACCACAATGACACGAAAATGATTGCTTCAATAAAGTATATGTCATTGCTTATACTGAAAGCTAAGATCCTGCAATAGGAAATCAAAGACTTCTTGGGAGGAATATTATATTGCTTAATTAGTGGAAGCAAAAAATGTGAAAGAAAAGTGCCTTAAAGGCTGTACAGAGAAGACAGTCATAAAATGAGTTGTATTTAGACACTGAAAATGAATAAAAAAATTACCAAGCAATGGTGATTATGATGTTTTGTTTTGTTTTCAGCATTATCAGGCTTAAATTGCAGTTTCCTAAAGGAACTATAGGTCATATGCAAATAAGAGTCATATGCAAAGACTTACTATGCAAATTACATCCTGTATTTGCAACAGGCTAGGAATAGGAAACAACCTACTAAAGTATGTAAGAATAGTGGGTTGTTGTAGGTTTTTTTCGAGCTATGTAAGAATACAAGGGAATAACAAATGTCAATTTGGCATATGATATTTTATTTCATGTATGCAAATCCAAATTAACATTGTGGAATTCATGGAATGCAGGAATACCACCTTTGACTCCAACTAAAGTGTAAACATTGAATGAGAGATTCCTGTAGAATACAACTGTAGAATTATATGGTCTGTTGCACCCCAGAACTGGAAAAATCTATGATCATCACCACGCAAGAGTCCAGAATATAAACAAACAGTTTATTGTAAAAACACATCAAAAGTATAGGAAAAAAGCAGAAATAAACAAAGATGTATATCCAAAAATGTTTAGCAATAAGCAAGAATCCAACAAGAATCCAAATGTCTCATACAGATTCAAAGGTAATACAGTCCAGGAATAGCCTAAAGAAATCATAAGACCAGCTTAAGTCCACAATCATAAGTTATACTCAGACCCCTTTCACACAGCTGAATAAAATCCCACATTATCTGCACATTATATATGGCAGTGTGGACCCAGATAATTCAATTCAAAGCAGATATTGTGGGATTTTTTACCTTGATATTCTGGGTTATATGGCTGTGTGGAAGGGCCCTTAGTAAAATTGGATCATGAATACAGAACATAGAAACTCCCAGAATACTTGAATCCAACACCAAAGGCTTGACTTGAAACAAGAACCAGAGAACTTAGGTCTAGCTTCTCACTCGAATGATACATTGCCTGAACTAACTCTTTAGGTAAACAACTTGCTAATTAATAGCCACCCCATGAAAGCATTTCGTTTCCCATGAATTCTCTCTACCACTTTCCCATGTAATTGCTCTGACCTGCGATGCCTGTTCTCTGCTCTGATCTGTAAATGGTTGTAGCAGTATCATTATAGTTATCTTTTTATTAAATATTAACTTGCAGAATTAAATCTTGTTATCAAGTTAGCTCCAGCTATTGTTTCTTGCATCAGTAAAAACCTAATAATAGAGTCCTTAAACACACACATATTCTACAGTATGCAAGTCAATTGATTATTGAAAGGATATTCTAAATCTGAATTTTTCTCCCCTGCTTTTGCCTTCTTTGTTTTCCCAACAGAGGCGATCTGGTCTTACTACATTAGGTTGTGGGAAGCATGTGGATCTTCCATTAGCATGGACTGAAGCTATTATGTTATCGCAATGTAGAGGAGAAATCAATGAAGGTTTGTTTGGTTCAAATGAAGATACACCCTTTCCAAATTCTATTTTATTATGTGTTCCTCCTAATTCAAGCTATGAAAAATTATTCACATTTGAAATAAAACTAACCTCTTTCCTCAAAGACATTTTTGCTGTAATAAATATGAAATATTTGGGGGGAACAGTTTTGACATGAGCAAACGTAAGACGGATGCTGAAATCCAGTCTTCAGTTAGGAGACAGAAATAGAGGCAGCTCTTAGATTTGCTTTGCTATTTATAGTGCAGTTTTGATACCATTGAGAGTTGCCCATAGTTCTGACCTTGCCTCTGAGTGATGTCTTAGCTCTCTACAGATGACCAAATTGTGGAAGGTTGGGCATTTTGCAAAATGTGTGTTATATTTGCACTGAAGTCTACATGCTTCTGAACGTGGAATGGGCAATCACTTCTTCCCATTTTTCAGGAAAATAGTGAAATTAACGCCCTGCCTAGAACCTTATATTTTAATTTTTTCAGTTACAAACCATGTATATTCAGTATTCTTCTTGAGGATTAGCTTTTCATTATGTGCTCTTTCTAAAACTAGAATAAATTGAGTGTAATTTTAAAATGGCATTTATACCTGCAAAGTAATTTGCCATGAATAATGATATGTTTTAGATTTCCTCATTTATTTCTATGAATAAAATAGCATGGTAAGTACATTTGAAGAATTAGAAGGGGTAAAACCCTTTAATAATAGTGGAAAAACTGCTCCATTGAGTTTGGACACCAGCCAGGTTCCACTAGTCCAGAATAATGTAGGAAGAACTGTGTGGTCATGAGCTAAAAATCACCTTCTCCTTTTTGTTTACTGGAGCTTTAGTTGTATCAAAGGCCCTTACGTTCCTAGGAGAAAGCCTTTGGATGCAGCCCAATATAACGATCAGTGTTCTTAGTAAATTAGCTCATCTTGGATTGTGAGTAGGACAGGAAGGTGCAAAGATTAAAAGGACACTGAAGGACATCTAATCCTCATTAGGTGATCTAAAGTATATATACTGCCTTGGCAATAACCTAAGGATGTTATTCCACATTGGGGGGAGGGGGGAGGTCATGTCACATTACTATGGTGTTATGTCCCATTGCATCAGAAAGTAAATCATATCATTTCTCTGATTCCATCACAAGTTGTTCTTTTTTGTCTTTTCTCCCAAAATCATTTTTGAGCCAGTGCAGTTCCTGCTTACTCCATTAAAAAAAACCTTAGCGGAAAAAAACCTTTGGAAATACTGGGCATTTCCTTCCAATCTCGCTACTCTGAAGTAGACCCAAGGCACTGGTTTTAACAAGACACCACTTTTGGGATACAGGGCTTTTTCCTCCAATCCTGCTACTCTGGCGTAGACCCAAGGCACTTATCTTAACTTGATACATCTTGCTACACTGCTGTAGACCTGAGGCACTGATCTTAACTAGACACAACTTTGGGGATACTGCGCTTTCCCCCTCCAATCCTGCTACTCTTGAGTAGACCCAACTTTGGGGACATTACTTTGGGGGATACTTGACTTTCCTCCCAATATCAGAACTTTCCACTGCAGAAGTACAAAACTTTAAAAGCTAGCAGTATCTCAACTTAGCCAAGAAGGAGAAATGACAGGAAAAACAAAGATATTTTTAAAATTTGGAATGTCTAATTATTAAATTAATTAAAATTAATTACCATGCCAGGCTCATTAAGGAGGATTTGGGAGAGACATCGGGCATCTGTAAATCTACAATATATACAGTGGTTGACTTGTTCCTTAGAAGCCAAAAATATTAATATTTCCATTAGGGATTCACTACATGTGGTTAGCCTGGGAACTGAAGTTAATGCCAATAAACACTGTAGTATTTATAAGGATAGTTAGAAATGAAACATTGTCCAACACTAAATAGCATCTGGTTTCTTTGCTAGTGAAAACTTCAGGAAAGCTTCAGTTTAGTTTAAACCTTACGGATATTTTGAAAAGTGTTTTTATTTGTAACAAATGTACATGTTGATCAGTTATAATGAAAACTTAGTAGCAAATAAAGTTTGCAGAGACAGCTAAGCAAAAAATGTCAGTATCGCCCTCAACAATTCAGATAAAAGAATTAGAGTGTAAGATTTCCAGGAATGTTGAAATCATGGCAATTTTTTCTTATTGTTATAATATAATTTTGCCTGACATAATTACCATGTTTGGTTTAAAGGTACAGTTAGTCAGACAATAGGTACAGACTGCATTCTCTTTTATTATGTTTTGTAACAAACGAGAAATACTTAAACCTCAATGTTAGTAAAAAAAGTTTCTTCTGATCTTTCATAACAAATTGTTCCCATAATAAGAGCCAAGAAAAGGCTAACATTTCTTAGTGCAGTGGTTCTCATCCTGTGGGTCCCCAGATGTTTTGGCCTTTAACTCCCATAAATTCTAACAGCTGGTAAACTGGGTACGATTTCTGGGAGTTGTGGGCCAAAACACCTGGGGACCCACAGGTTGAGAACCACAGCCTTAGTGGGAAGCACTCTTGCTACCATCAGGTAAGCTCCGCGACTGCATCCATGGCCAATGCTCTGCAAAGACTCATTTTGAAAGATTGAAGCTTGCTTGAAAAATTGAAGTTTACTGTTATCTACGTAGAAAGTGTCCAATTGCAGTCATAAACCGGAATGAAAAAATAAAATGTGGTAGCAGTATGGCAGCCTTCACAATAGATGAAGTTGATGATCACCTTTTGGCTAATTTCCAACCTGGAGTTGCAGCCTTGGATATGTATGCATGGAACACAGAATTTAAAGATAGGAACATAATAAAAACATATTGTATGAGAACAAAGGACTATCTAGTCTAACATTCTATTTACATAATGGTTGTCCATGTGAAGCTTGCTAGAAGTAATGAATCCAAATATACCCTGATTCTTTTATTCATCAGCAACTGATATGGAAAGCACATTGCCATTTTGACTAGTAGCTCTGAAAGATTTTTTTTTTAAAGCTTCACCCTCATGGCTAAGCTTTATGCCTACAGACATGTAATTAATGTGTTGTCAAAGGCTTTCATGGCCAGAATCACTGATTTTAGAGTTTTTAATACTGGTAGCCATATTTTGTTCATTTTCATCAGGACAGTAAATAAAGAGGAACACTCGAACAGCAAGGAAATTTCTGACATGAAACAATCAGGGCCAGCTAACACCTCCCAACAAAGGATCCCCCAGGCAGGAACCAGCCAGTCTTTGAAGCTGCAAGGCCATTCAGTGTTAATCAAGGTGTCTAGTTGCAACATTCACACTTGCCTCAAGCAGACAAGAGTTCTTTCTCCCACTCTGGACATTCCATAGATATATAAACCTCACTTGCCCAGTTTCCAACAGACTTCACAACGTCTGAGGATGCCTGCCATAGATGTGGATGAAATGTCAGGAGAGAATGCTTCTGGAACATGGCCATACAGCTTGGAAAACTCACAGAAACTCAGACATACAGTTACTTCATAAATTCAACTTCAGATTACATCCTTTCAAACTCTGGATTTCACTTGTTGACTTCCCATTAGTTAGTGATTGGACATATGTGGGGCTGTAGATTTTTCCCCACCAGTCAAGTATGGAAACCATGAGAAGTCAAAAGATCTCTCTTACTTACATGCAAAATACAAAGAGGGCCTTGATAAGCAAGTTTCACCACCACCTCTTTTTGCAACTATTGAAAGGACAGAAGTGCTGCCTTTTTTGTAATGTGGTTTTCCCCCACTGCCTCATATAATTAACTGTGCTTTGTAATTAGCAATTATGAAAAAACAGCAATATAAAAAAGTGAACTAAGCAAATACTGGCAAGAAAACAAATGTTATAGATTACCTCAATAATCAGTGCACATTGCACATTCCTAGAAGCCTGTTTGATTTTATTAATTTAGATGGCTTTATTATACAATAAGATTTAATTCATCATCTATCATAAACATTTCAGCAACTGTTGAATAGAATTATGAAAGAGACAAGCCTTAATTGCTTCTTCATCAAAGTGATAATCAGAAAAGGCAAACAATCTGGAAAAAATTGATGTAACATTTGTTTTATTTGTTCATAACTTGGCAAGCATTGTGTTGCAGGTGTGATGAGGACTGAATGAAATATTAAGGCTGTGCATAGCAAGCACTTGATATTAATTTGTTTTTATATTTTTACATTTTTTTATTTCAGAAGCTCTTGATATTCTCCTAATTTCCTTGGACCATGCTCCTGTTGCTGCAGATCATATCCCAATTTTATTTTTTATCTCAGAGTCCATATTGTATAAACTCTGTTATGATGCAGTCAAAAAACCGTATCTCTTCTCATGTGAAATCAAGTTCTCCAAGGTATGTTGTACCTTTGACGATAAATGCCAATGCCATGGTATTGTAATATGCACATTGTTTCCTTGTACGTATTCTTAAATGAACCGCTCTGAAGGTGGGTTTATACCAGGAGTGCCTTACCTCACCTCTGGAAGCTGGATCTGGTGCTGTTTTTCAGTTATGGGGATGCAGCAGTGGACTAAATTCCACCTAGGTCACAAACTCTTTCCTCTTAATCATGAAATAGTTAGTGAAAATTGTTCCTGTTATCAACATATTGTATGTTTCCCAGTGTGGATATATAAGATGATATATTACAAAACAAAAATCCATACCATAAAAGTGAAAAGATACTACTCACCATTATTAATTCTTAGTTGCACGTATTTTGGTTTATGCATTTTAATATTGTGTTTTATCTGTCTGCTTTAACCATTATGCCCCACCTCAAGCTGCAAAGAGAGGTGGGTAACAAATAAAATTATCATCATTATTAGAATTAGAAAAAATGCCAGCTGTCTTTTCGCCACTAAGACTACCTTACAGTACAGTTCGTGTCATCCACAAGGTCTAGCTCA